GAGTTATATCCTAAAACACATGCTGTGCCCCATATGGTCTAAAACCTGCAGGTGGACAAATCTAAGCTTGTTTTTAATAAAACAAATAAAAATATGGATATAATAAACAAAACTGCTAATAATGATAACTTTATACCAAAGCAAATTGAATGAACTGATAAAGCCCCCCGAGATGAAGAAGGCATGAAGGCAGTGGCTTTTATATTTATGTAGGCTAGAAAATAATATTTTTTGTAATATTTTAATCCTTTATATTTATATCCTATATATTTCCTTAATATTTGAATTCTTTTTCATTTGTAAAGATATTTGCGTATGTGTAGGCGAGGCGCATAACTAACTTGCTCTGCGCTGGACAATAGACCGGCTTTGTTTTGGTCTATTGAAAAATCTATTATAGTTTCTCAAAATAGCAATGCGCCAACAATGCGCCTCAACACGCCTCCCTTTTTAGACCAGAACGCCTATATGTGCACATATGAGCGCAAATGCATTTGCTATTTAAACAGCGTAGCGCAAAACGTCAAAACGACTCTTGCGCCAAGTTGAAACTAGCAAACAACTATTGCGTCGCGCCTTGCGCCACATTGCGCCAGGTGTATGATAGGGCCCAAACAGCGCACAGAAGAATAAATGCATGACTACACGTAAAGCAGGCACCGTAGGTCACGCCGATCACACAATATATGTTTCTTTATTTAACCAGATAAAAAACCCATAGAGATCAAGATCTCATTTACAAAGGTGACCTGGCCAAGAGGTCTGCAACACACGATTTATAAAAAAATTTAATACTAATATTAATAATAAATAGAAAATTAATAGAATATAAATATACAGTTCAGTTTTCCAGCTTTACCACATTTCAATAAATTAAAAACACATACATTGAGAAATGGACTGTTGTTGTTTGTTAAAAAAAAGATAGAGCGAAACGATGTCATTGGGAAGAGCTCAGATATATTTAGTTCAGACTGAAGAGTATTCCAGGATGAGGTGGTGGCATGACTAAAGGCTCACTTCCCTATTTCAGTTCGAACCCGGGGAACAGTTAAATGATAAGATTCACTTGAGCGTAGGGCATACTGTCTTTTAGACTTAAGGAGAAGGGAACATAGGTATGAAGGCACCAGTTCCAGAAGAGCCTTGACACAATGCACAAGTATAAATCAGCCTTGAGATCTAGTGAAGCGAAAAGATCACTCTGTATAAGAAATTGAACAATATTTTGCAACATACAATTGCCAAGCAAGCACCCTTGCGCATTTGTCACCAAAAGCAATCCGACTACATTCACACATAAGCCAAGACCAGGCTGTGGATTAAAACTAATAATACTGTAAATAATGTTTCATCTCTTACACAGAGTGATCGTTTTGCTGATTTGGACTCATTTTTATCTGTTTATTTTTAATCCAATAAACCTGTCACCAATTGGGTGGCCTAAATTGTCTGTAGTGTATGAGTGTGAGTAAGTGTGTTTGGATGTTTCCCAGAGATGGGTTGCGGCTGGAAGGGTATCTGCTGCGTAAAAAACTTGCTGGATAAGTTGGCGGTTCATTCCGCTGTGGTGACCCCAGATTATAAAGGGACTGAGATAAAAAGAAAATGAATGAATGAATGAGTGAATGAACCTGTCACCATTCGCTACCATTATAATGATAATAATACCTTTTATAGGCGCCTTTCAAAGCACTCAAGGACACCTTACAGTACGTCACAGGCACATTATTAAAAACAAAACAGAAGAGTAATAAAACATAGTATTAATACAGAAAATTTCTATTAGTATAAATTCTGAACAGAAAGGTTTTAACCTGGGATTTAAAACTGGAGACAGATTGGAGATATTATATCAATCACCAAGAATCCCAGATTCAACTCAAAATCCTCTTCAGCTTTCTACTGAAGAAAAAAAATCACATACCTCTTGGATGACCTGTGGGTCAGTAAGATAACAAGAAATCTTATGTTTTTGTGTGAACTATTCCTGGTGTTTTTCTATTTGCATGTATTTTTTTTTCCAGCACTTTAATCTCTCTCAGCCTCCATATGGAAATGTTTTATTTAAAATTTTTATGTCATATATCCAAGGAAATATTCAGCTAGGAGCCCTTTTTCAGATTAGTTAACAATAGAAGCTTATGTGCCACTCATAAATAATTTTTTCTCATTATTAAGTTTGTAAAATAAGCCAAATTTGTGTTTTACAGTAAAGCACTTATTAAAAATATCTGTAAGGCAAGACATTAGAGAGGGATTCAAAGTAGAAAGGTAAATATAAACCTTTTCCAAAGTCAAATATAAGCACTTTTCAAACCCTTTCTAGGTGCTTTTTCAAAGTGTCAAATTACATATTTGCACACATATCAATAGTTCATCACATTATACCAGATACTTATTTGAATGCTACAGTATACTATAAGGAACAACAATGATGTTTGCTACTATAGCCCAATATTGTGTTACTGTCATTTACTCATTTAAATGTCATTTGCTCGCATCTTCAATCATTTTAAATTTATATTTATTCTAATTGTATGCATTGTTCACTCATTAAGTGATATTCTTCATGCATTTTGTATTCTCCCTCTTTTTAAGCAAAGTTTAAGCCAAAAATAACAAGTTTAAGCAACAAAATGAATAAAAAATCACGCTAAAGACGCATCAGAGACCTCAGAGATTTTAGTTTTTATGCAAAAGCAAAAAATGTTGAGTTTTTATTTTGAATTAATTACTAATACCTATTTAAAAACCTAATCTGACAGCAACAATGAAATTTTCAAGTAGATTTAAGCTAAAATCAAAGTACTTTTCAATCCTGGACTGCACATTTTCAAGGATGCACCTGTATGAACCCTGAGCATTAGACAACATGTGTTATTTCTACTATAGACAGCAAATGTTTTAGGTGGACTCGCTGCTTTTTTCTTCTTCACTCATATTATGATTTCTTTTCTGCAGTTGGATGCGGTTGTCATTTTTAACCAACGTGAATGGACAAATACCCGTCAGAAGGTGATCTCAGCATTTTTATCAATGCACGGCAAGGTTTTTACACCCTTGTGTTATTTGCTAGATGCCACTTGCACATTACTAGATCACACCTTGGTATGTTTTGCAATGAATATTATTCATGACATTGAGAAACACATTTGTAATGCACTTGCTAATAATCTGAATGTCATTGTGTTTAATAGATTAAAACAAAATCACACTTGTGTAAAGATGCGTCAGCACAACAAAGCTGATTTGACAGTAGTTTGTGCTGCTTAGAATAAAAGGATACTAAAGAGAAACGGCATAATGATACTTTTTGAAATATTTAGTTTATTTAGTTGCTTTTTTTCTTACTTTATACATTAATTTTATTAATAATTATTCAACAAAGGTACAGTTATATTCATTAATAATGTAACTAAATGTAGATTGTTATTGTTTTTATTATTATCATTGACACCTTCTAAATGCATTGAGATTGATTCTTAATTCAGGATGTCATGTAATTACACTCGTATCATTTGGCCAGATGATATTAAACGCATTTCCTAAACTGCTTATTGATTGGTCAGAAATAACGTGCAGGAAAATGCCAATGGAGCTCCCGCAAGTAAACAAACCATTCATTCATTCATTCATTCATACATTCATACATTCATACATTCATACATTCATACATTCAATTAATAATAATAATAATAATAATAATAATAATAATAATAATAATAATAATAATAATAATAATTCCTTACATTTTATATAGCACTTTTCTAGGCACTCAAAGCACTTTACATATTGGGGAGAATCTCCTCATCCACCACCAGTATAGATTTATACATTCATTGGCTTGTTCATTCATTCATTGACTCACTCACTCATTCATTCATTCGTTCGTTCGTTCGTTCGTTCGTTCGTTCGTTCGTTCGTTCGTTCGTTCATTGCCTCATCCGTTTGTTGATTCATTCATTCATTCATTGTCTCATTCATTCATTCATTCATTGCCTCATCCGTTTGTTGATTGATTCATTCATTCATTGTCTCATTCATTCATTAATTCATTCATTGCCTATTTTATTCATTCATTGCATCATTGATCGAAAGATTGATTAATTCATTCTTTCATTGACTTGTACATTCAATTATTGCTTCATTCATTCATTTATTCATTCCTTACGTCTTTCATTCATTTATTCATTCATTGACTTGTTCATTCAATCATTAACTCACTCAATAATTTTATTAACTCACTTTTTTATTCATTGACTCATTCATTTATTCATTGCCTATTGATTGATTGATTGATTCGTTAACTTATTTATTCATTGACCCGTTTATTCATTATTTTATACATTTCCTTGTTCATTGATTAATTGTCTCATTCATTCATTAATTCATTCATTGACTTGTCATTCATTATTTGACTAATTTTTTCGTTACCTTGATTGATTAAATGATTGATTAATTAATTTATTCATTTTCTTATTCATTAATTATTTCATTCATTTATTGATTAATTCAGACTCAAAATGTCGCTTTCTACTATGGAGCTACGACTGCGCTGACTGATTGTATTCCTGCTAATAGTATACTATATAGTTTGTATACATCACTTTAGACAAACTATACATTTCGAGAATGAAGCGCGGCCGCAGCTAGTTCGGATCATATTCTCACCACAAACTAACCACTCCAGGGTTCGTTTAAAAGCGTAACAAGACCACCTCTTTAAGGAGGTCTCGATATGCTTTTTTGATCCGCCAAACAAACCTCACCAAGAGGGAAAACGAAGTCTAGTTCGATTCAACCGAACTAAATAAGGCAGGTGTGAAAACACCCTAATGCTGTGTTCACACCAGATGGCGGAAGAAGCGTCAGTCGCAAGTGATTTACATGTTAAGTCAATGCAAACGTACAAATAGACATCCTGCAGCGTGATACGCATGAATGGCGCGGCATAAATTGAGCATTTTGCGTGTTTGACGAGCAAATCGCTTAATTAAAAAATCTGAACTTCAGCGAACATTCACTCTGCGCTAACCAATAAGGAGCTTACACTTTGTGGGAGGCGTGATTGTGACATATCGCTTGTTGTTGGTGTCCTAGGGGAAATCCTCCAGCTGAAACCGACCACAGTACATCAAACTGGGCTAAGCTCAGTCAGATGCACCGCTGAAAGCCTCAATCATTCAGGTTCAGTTTCTGGTGGAGATTATGAGCTCACAGAGCTGCTACACCTCTGAAAGGATGTAGTGGACTCAGACACGGCACTAAACGTATCGACACTGTTTTTCAGCCTTCATAAAGCACATAAACACTAATTTTTTTAATCAAATCCATGTTAGCCATTTAGCAACGAAGCTAGAATCACCGAGCAGACAGAAGCCCTGCCCATCACGCGAATCCGCGTCTGTTCTGAAGTGAATTTGACCCTCGAATGAAGCGGATTTAATGCGCAAATGAAGCGAGTAAACTCAAATGTTCACGCGGCTATTTACTCGCAAATATCGCGATTTATCTGTGCGTTCCACGTCTGGTGTGAACACAGCGTTAGGAACCGTGTAAAATTAAACAAAGTCACATTGACCGTTCCGCAGAAGTTTCTCGCTATGGAAAGACACACTAGCTGTTTATATACTTTATTCCTTCATGTTGTCCCAACTCAAATGGATTGTGGTGAACCCAGGTTTTTTTTTTTTTTTTTTTTCAGTGTATTATTACTGCACGCAGGGCTGGGCCATATGACAATACAAGTCATCTCATATCCTGATAATGATATATATCACTGTAACATACCTCTTCTGTACATTCAGCCAATTAATAATGTATGTACATTATACATAGTATTACTATATTACTGTTTATTTTTATATTATGGGTGATATAATGGCTCAGTGGTTAGCACTGTTGCCTTACAACACAGGTGTCAAACTCAGTTCCTGGAGGGCCGCAGCTCTGCACAGTTTAGTTCCAACCCTAATTAAACACACCTGATCAAACTAATTGAGTCCTTCAAGCTTGTTTGAAACCTACAGGTAAGTGTGTTGGAGCAGGGTTGGAACTAAACTGTGCAGGGCTTCGGCCCTCCAGGAATTGAGTTTGACACCCCTGCCTTGCAACAAGAGGGTTTAAGTCCCGGCTGGGTGAGATGACATTTCTGTGTGGAGTTTGCATGTTCTGCCCGTGTTGGGTGCTCTGGTTTCCCCCACAGTTCAAACATATCCGCTATAGGTGAATTGGGTAAACTAAATTGGCTGTAGTGTTTGATTGTGTGTGTTTGTGAATGAGTGTGTATGTTTCCTAGTTCTGGGTTGCAGCTGGAAGGGCATCTGCCGTGTAAAACATATGCTGGATAAGTTGGCGGTTCATTCCACTGTGGCGATCCCTGATAATTAAAAGAACTAGGCTGAAGGAAAATGAATGAATGAGTGTTATATTATGTTTACATTTTAAAGTATACTAGTTTAGAGTAAATCAGATCTATTAATTTATATATGATCATATTTTAGGACTTTGGGGCAAATGTTTAATTAAGAATGTAGAAATATGTAATAACTATTAATGAAATCTAAATCGCTTTTCAAAAATGAATGAGTACAGGCCCACCATAAAATATCGCTAAATAAAATGCAAAATTCAAGACTCTCAGGATTTCACATGATGAAGATTTCACGTTATTTATGTTTCTGTCTTTATCTAATATTGAGCTTATTTAAATTATGCAAAAGGATTACAGTATGAAACAATGTGTTTCACAGCACCACGATATAAACGATAGAGTAAAATATGAAATGATAGACTACAATGTACACTTACCGGCCACTTTATTAGGTACACCTGTCCAACTGCTCGTTAGCGCAAATTTTACATCAGCCAATCACATGGCAGCAACTCAATGCATTTAGACATGTAGACATCGCCAAGACGATCTGCTGCAGTTCAAAGTGAGCATCAGAATAGGGGAAAAAAAAGGGGATTTAAGTGACTTTGAATGTGGCATGGCTGTTGGTGCCAGACGGGCTGGTCTGAGTATTTCAGAAACTGCTGATCTACTGGGATGTTCATGCACAACCATCTCTAGGGTTTATAGAGAATGGTCTGAAAAAGAGAAAATATCCAGTGATTGGCAGTTCTGTGGGCACAAATAAATGCCTTGTTGATGTCAGAGGTCAGAGGAGAATGGCCAGACTGGTTCCAGCTGATAGAAAGGCAACAGTAACTCAAATAAGCATTCGATACAACCGAGGTCTGCAGAAGAGCATCTCTGAACACACAACAGGAAGATGAGCTACAGCAGCAGAAGACCACACCGGGTGCCACTCCTGCTAAGAACAGGATACTGAGGCTACAATTAACACAGGCTCACCAAAACTGGACAATAGAAGATTGGAGAAACGTTATCTGGTCTGATGAGTCTATTTTTGCTGCCACATTCAGATGGTCGGGTCAGAATTTGGCCTCAACAACATGAAAGCATGTATCTATCCTGCCTTGTATCAACGGTTCAGTGGTGGTGTAGTGGTGTGGGGGATTTTGGGTCCATTAGTACCAACTTAAAGCCACAGCCTACCTGAGTATTGCTGCTGACCACGTCCATCCAAAGCAGTTCTGAAGGCAAAAATGGGTCCAATCCGGTACTAGTAAGATGTACCTAATAAAGTGGCCAGTGAGTGTATATTGTCATATTGCACAACCCGACTTGCATGAAAATAGTATTTTAAGAAAACAGCATTTAATATATGTCTTTCCACACAGACAGACACACACACACACACACACACACACACACACACACACACACACACACACACACACACACACACACACACACACATGTTTGTTTTTGTGAAAAGTGGGGACATTACATAGGTTTCCATTCATTTTATGCAGCCCAAACCGTATATTATATTGCCCTCACCCCACCCCACCCCTAAACCCAACCATCACAGGAGATTGTGTGCAGCTTTACTCTCTGATTAAACTCATTCTGTAGGATTTATAAGCATTTTGAGAAATGAGGACGTCACCAATGTCCTCATATTTCACCTCCTTTTTGTAATACCTGTGTCATACCCATGTCATTATACAGATTTGTGTCCTGATATGTCACAAAAACACGTACACACACACACACACACACACACACACACACACACTCATGTATATATACTTTTTTACAAGTTTATTTTACTTATTGTATTGTTATATGTACAGTAACTCCAACAATAATAATTAAATGAGCAAATATATTAATATAATAACTGATAATAATGTATATTGATGCAGTTATATAGCAAAAGATACACAAGCACAATTCCTCACAAACGCATTTGACATAAAGAAATCCATAAATATAATCCATACTGACATATGATCTAATGGCGTTCATTCACACGTGTAAAAGACTGATCTGTATGTGTGTGTGCGTGTGTTAAAAACTAGTGCATGTGTCTGATTTCTGCAGCATCACAAGAACCTTCGCCTCTGGCAAAACAGAGAAGGGAATTTTCCAGGCGCTGAAGGATCTCGGTTTACCCAGTGGAAAGGTTCAGTACATTTTTACTGCATGTACTTTCATCATTGAGATCCAGGATGGGGATATTGATATGAACCAACATGAGCAGAACTGTATGCTCTCTCTTTGGTTTGCCTTTAGCATGAATATTCTGTTATTCACTGCATTCTGCACAGCATAACATTATGCATTGATTTTATGCTACATTTGTGGTTCCATAGCCTCTTAATGTTGTCAAATTACACACATGCCAATGCAGTATTGAGTATATGACTGCACGCTACGCTGATTATAATCAATACTAATATGTTATGCTAATGAACTGCAACTGTTCCAGCTGGTTTGTTTCAGATTATAAGACCATGTTCATCTTTTAACAGAATGATGAAATCCAGCGCGAGATCTTCACTTTTGACAAGTTCTACAGCCTTACGCAGAAAATCTGTCCCAGAACTGACATTGAAGTACTTTTCAAGAAATTGTAAGCAACCTATTAACTTATATGAATTTAATATATGGTTAATAAAATGCAATAGAATTTAAGCTTTATGATTCAAAATGTGTTATGAGGTTGATTCTCTTTTCCCACAAATGTTTATTTTAGGGATTTTATGATTGTAAATAGTAATAATATTTAATACAAAAATGTATATATCTGTAAATACAGTTTTATAAAAAAAATTCTCTGTAGCTGCACAATAATAATAATGGTAACACTTTACAATAAGGTTCATTAGTTAATGCATTTACTAACATGAACTAATCATGAACAACACATGTACAGCATTTAATAATCATAATTGAACATTTACTAATGCATTATTAACATTCAAGTCTATGCTTGTTAACATTAGTTAATGCACCATGAGTTAACATGAACTAACAATGAACTACTGTATTTTCATTAACTAACGTTTATTAACATGTAAAAATACTGTAGTAAATGTCTTGTTCATTGTTTGTTCATGTTAGTAAATGCATTACTTAGCATTAACTAATGAACCTTATTGTAAAGTGTTACCATAATAATAATAATAATAATAATAATAATAATAATAATAATAATAATAATAATAATTGCCGATTTTTGAATGGCTGCAATTATTAAAATGATCAGGGGTGCCCAAACTTTTGTATAAAACTGTATATAAAACAGTTGTTAAAAATTGCTAAATCAAGCATTTATTACTAAATTACTAAATCAAGTTGTCTGAATATCAATAATAAATCATGTTTATTTATATTTGATATATGATATTTAGAAAATGATATCACATACAGTTGAAGTCAGAATTATTAGCTCCCCCCTAAATTTATTTTAAAATTATTAGAATTATTATTCTAATTTATATTTATATTAAAATTATTAGACCCCTTGTTTATTTTCCCCCCAATTTCTTTTTAACTTTTTTTAGCACATTTCTAAAGATAATAGTTTTAATAACTCATTTCTAGTCATTGATTTATTTTATCTTTGCCATGATGACAGTAAATAATATTTGACTAGATATTTTTCAAGACACTTCTATACAGCTTAAAGTGACATTTAAAGGCTTAACTAGGGTAATTATGTGAACTAGTTAGGTTAGAGTAATTAGGCAAGTTGTTGTATAATGATGATTTGTTCTGTAGAGTATCGAGAAAAAAATAGCTTAAAGTGTGCTAATAATTGCCCTTAAAATGGTGTTTGAAAAATTAAAAACTGCTTTTATTCTTGCCGAAATAAAACATTTTTTTCATTCTTCTTTTTCCTGAAGAAAAAATATTATCAGACATGCTGTGAAAATTTCCTTGCCCTGTTAAACATCATTTGGGAAATATTTAAAAAAGAAGAAAAAAACAAAGGGGGGTAATAATTCTGACTTCAACTGTATATATAATATATTTATAATATATCAATATATAATTTTACATGGTTTTATAGTTTCCTTAAGAAATGTATCATATAATGAATGACTAAGTGAGTGCATGAACAACTGAATAAGTCAATAATTCAATGAATGAACGATGCAATGAATGAATGAATGAATGAATGACAAAAGAAAGAGTCAATTATTCAGTGATGAATGAATGAATGTTAATGGAAATACAAAAATATAATTTCGCTTGGTTGTTTTTGGTTCATATGTATATTTAATTAAATCATTTTTATTTCAATGACAATTCATTGACTCATTCATTCAATCATCTATTGCCTCGTTCATTTAATGATTCATTTATTTATTCATTCATCGACTTGTTCATTCATTCATTGACTTATTAATTCATTGATTGAATGATTCATTAATTGACTTGTTCATTCATTCATTGACTCTTTAATTCATTAATTGGCTCATTCATTCATTCATTCATTCATTCATTCATTCATTCATTCATTCATTCATACATTCAATTAATAATAATAATATAGATAATAATAATAATAATAATAATAATAATAATAATAATAATTCCTTACATGTTATATAGCACTTTTCTAGGCACTCAAAGCACTTTACACATTAGGGAGAATCTCCTCATCCACCACCAGTATAGATTTATACATTCATTGACTTGTTAAT